AAGTATGCATTATCTTAAAATTCAATTAATATAATTAAAAGGAATACTAAAATATCAAAATTTAAGCGTGTATTTATATAATCATGCCAATTTTTAAAGCTTCATGTTTTTTTTGTCTTGTTCCTTTAATAATAACCCAATAGATTCTTGCTTTTTTTTCATTCAATTGACAATATCCTCTTCTTTCTCTTTTGCCTCTAAAACTTTTTTCTTCTTCTTCATGGATTTCTAGTTAGATTTTCTGGGGTGACTTTAATATTTTTTTTGTAAAGCTTTGATTTTTTTTCTTGGCATTTTGAATGTTGTTTTGGGGTTGTCTTCTTGAGAGCAATGGGTGTTCACTTTTGTTTTCTGATAGCTAAAAAAAAGGAATTTTTACAAGGGATAATTTTTACTAATTTTTTTTGGGATTTTCTTGAGTGACTTTAATTTGTGTAAAGTATTAATCTTTTCAAGGCATTTTGAAGGATGCTGTGTGGGGTTTGTTTTCTGATAGCTAAAAAGAAGCATTTTTCATAAGGAGATAATGTCAGTCAAGAATAGAAAGATATCTTCTTGACTAACTTTTTTGAGTTTCATGGGGGTAGAAAAAGATGATAACTTTAGGAAAGTTCATTTCTTTTAGAAAGTTATCTGAGTATAAGTAGAAGAAAAGTTACATTTTTTAGTATATTGAAGGGTTGAAAAGATAGATTCTTGAAAATGGGGGAGAAGAAGAATATGCCAGCAGTTTGGTTTTCTTTAAAGAGATCTTTGCATTGTAAATCAGGGCCATCAGATGTTCATGACCCAAAAACAAGAAAAGAGTTAAGCACAATTTTGACTAAAAAAGGAGGAGGAAGGTCTGGTTGTTCAAGGTCTATAGCAAATCTCAAAGATGTAATCCATGGAAGTAAAAGACATTTGGATAAACCCCCTAGTTGTAGTCCAAGATCTATTGGTAGTAGTGAGTTTCTTAATCCAATAACTCATGAAGTTATTCTGAGTAATTCAAGATGTGAGCTGAAAATCACTAGTTTTAATGGATTTCAAGAAAGTGGTAATGGGGGTAGTGGGGTTGGGGGTGGGGTGAGTACTAATGGTGGTTCAACTTTTGTGGGTACTTTAAGGCCTGGTACACCAGGTCCAGGAGGGCACCCTACAATGCATTATTTCAATTCTGGTTGTAGGAACACTCCTACAAGGAGGAGTGCATCTTTTCTTGTTGATAAAGAAGGGCATACTAGTAGTTTTGCTTCTAAAACTAGGTATTCACTTGATAATGATGTTAATGGAACTTCTTCTGGGGTCACATGTCATAAGTGTGGAGAGCAATTTGGGAAATGGGAAGCTCTTGAAGAGCATCATCTTTCTAAGCATGCTGGTAAAAAAATCTTGCCTTTTTGCTTTTTTCATCATTCCTGTTCCTAAATCCATGCTTTCTTGCTTACACTATAGCTTATTTCCTTTTTCGTGCTCTTTGTCTGAAAAAAAGTACTTTTTTAATATTAATATAAAAATTGGGGTGGGAAAGTGGGTAGTGGATTACAAGGTGAGAAATAATTTATCGCAATGGATTAGTTAACTGTATCCTGATTCGAACTCGCACTAATAAAGTGAAAGTTTAGATAGTCAACCTATGAGATTTCCTGAAAAGAGGTACTTGCTTTGCTTTATGTTCTTTCTTCCCCTCCCACCACCCCACCCCCTTTTCTTTTTTTTGCTTATGTGTGTGTAGCCTACATCACAAGATTGTACATTTGCAGCTTCTGAGCCCTCATTGCTTAGGAATTGGAACTTCTTGTCTTTGTCTTTAGTGTTAGAAATATTGTCCTTTTTCAGTCAATTTGTTTGAAATTTGCTTCAAGGTGAGATGATATCAGTAATTTCTTCCAAAATTGATTAGCTTTGGTGGATTGGTGGTGTAGGGAGGTGAAGCAAAAGAAATCATGAAATTCTAACTGTGAAATTCTCTGCGCATTATGCGTAGATATCTATGCCTGCATTGCACTGCTGGATGAGAGAAAAATTTTGCTTCCCATCACCCTATATGTCAAATTAGGATGAATCCTCATATACAGAATGTGTTTGGACAAGCTCACCTAGGCATGTTGGTCCCGATTTGCTTGGGATTGAGATGTCGTAATTGTATTTGTTATTATTGTATTCATTTTCTGTACTTGTTGATTTAATTCTTTGAAAGGCTTCTTAGCTTGTTGTTTTTTGCTCAAATGGACAGTGAGTGAACTTTTGGAGGGTGATTCTTCAAGGAAGATTGTAGAAATAATCTGTCGCTCAAGCTGGTTAAAATCCGAGAGCCAAGTTGGACGGATTGAAAGGGTCTTGAAAGTTCACAACACACAAAAAACTCTGGCTCGGTTTGAAGAATATAGGGAGATGGTGAAAAGCAAAGCAAGTAAGCTCCCTAAGAAACATCCTCGATGTATAGCTGATGGAAATGAACTTTTAAGGTTCTATGGAACTACTTTGGCTTGCGGCCTTGGCATGAACGGATCCTGCTGTCTCTGTATATCTGATAAATGCTGCGTCTGTCGAATTATCAGAAACGGTTTCTCCACGAAGAAGGAACTCAAAGGTGGGATTGGCGTCTTCACCACCTCCACGAGTGGAAGTGCTTATGAATGCATCGAGATGAGTGAAGATGATCCATCCTTAAGAAAAGCATTGATTGTCTGCAGAGTAGTTGCAGGTCGAGTGCATAGGCCATTAGAGAACATTCAAGAAATGGCTGGCCAAACTGGGTTCGATTCTTTGGCAGGTAAGGTTGGCGTGTACTCGAACATAGAGGAGCTTTACTTGCTTAATCCAAAGGCTCTTCTTCCTTGTTTTGTGGTAATCTGCAAAGCCTAAGGGGAAAAAAAGACATTGCTGAATGTTTAAATTAGTAATGAGATTCTGCGTCACGTATAGGCTTTTCTTTTCGACATGTTCTGCAGGAATTTTTGGTTCTTGGAGTCCAAATTCTGTATCTGTTATTTACCAAAATTTGGCAAAGCTAGATGATCCAAAAGTTTCATTGATAGTTTTTTGTTGACTTTGTGGGGTGTGACTACCCCTTTTTATTCAAACCAAACCATCCCATCCCCAGGAGGATTAATTGTGCTCCCACGTACCCTCCAATGGGACTCGATTAACCCTCAATCTACTGGTTGATGATAGATGTGCTCAACCACTTGAGTAAGCCTCACTTGTCGACTACCTTTTTCTGTGTCTCTGATGATTTTTGGTTGAGTTCGTACATGTATGATGTATAGGTGTAACAGAATACCGTTTATTATACATAGTAATATAGACAACTATAGATTTGGGACCATTTCAGTTTTTAGAATGAATCCATGATCACAAATCTGGGCAGTTTTGGACTAGACACTTGTGACTTCAAAACCAAATGGTTGCTAAGGCTTAAGAAGTTTGTAAGCTATGCTTCCGGCACCTATGTTGTTCAGACTCTTTAAAAATGTTGTTGGACGCGTGTCTAATCCTCCCAAATATTGTCAGATCATTCAAAAGTAGTGCATTTTTAAAGGATCCGACATAGGTGAGACAATATCTCTAGAGAGTGTAATCGTAGTATGACATTCAAATATGAAGTAATAATTGTCCTCGTATAATCTACGTATATTCTGTCCTCTTCAAACCGGGTGTGTTTTTGTTATATCATCAACTCAATGAAATCCACTTGCAGCAACCAAAATGTGGTCCCTCAAGTTAGTACTGCTATATGCTTCATAAAATGCTAGAAGACATAAATAAATGAGATAATAAGTCATTGTCTATGTTTCTTTTGGCAGACTATATTATCTGTGTCTTATTAGACCTACTATTAATGTTGCTAGAAAAATGTTGTGATCCTCTTTTTCTTATTCTCTGCACATTTTTTTTTCCTTAATTTATCACTACTGCTGTTCAGAGAAATGAACTAGATTCATGAGATAAGTCAAAAAAGGGACCAACTTTTTCCTCTTGCTTTTAATATGACCTGAAAAAAAGTGGTACCCAATTTTATTTTAGGTGATATTATTTCTTTTGTTAACTCTTAAATTTTAAATTTTGAATTTTTCCCTCCGCTTAAGATAACAAGTTCTAAGGACACCTTTTAATATGTATTAAAAGTATTTTTTATAGTACGATATCTTTTTCTATTAAAATTGTGAGTGAGCATAAGAGATTCATTTTTATATTTGAGTTAGTATGGTTTTTATTTTTTGTATAATCATCTGAAGTTCGATATAAACATGCTTGAGTTCTATTCAAAGGAGGAAACGCTCTTACTGAGAACTCGAATCGAGATTCTTATCTATCACACCACATCTCTCTCGTTGATCATTTCGTTGGTGGTTTGGTTTTGAACAGTAGCTATCTGTTAATAAATGTTGCATGGCAATGCCAACTCATTACGTATCTATGCATCTGATTTTGATAGAAAAGACACTTGTCTATTTGTGTTCAGAAAACTGAATTCAACTGCAATTGGGGAATATTTCAGTTGGCATTTCATTAATGCTGATTTAGACTGTTCCTCTGCTTCAACCTTTCCTTCTTTTTCTTTGTTTTGGGGTGGGGGACGGGTGGAGGATAGCGACTTTGGTCCCTATGATTTTGATCCTTCAAACCATGTTGCTTCTATCTAAGCCTGAGATAATCTGTATCATGAGTCATGACATACATCCACATTCTTGAAACAGTTGAAAGAATCATCAATAAATGGACAAGAACCCGAATTATAAAGCACATGAAGATCATTGTCCTCGACCCATTCATCATCCAACTCTAGTACGTAATGAGTACTGGAAGAATCAATGGAAGAATATAAGGTTGAGTGAAGACGACAAGCAAGAATATCAGTGGTGACGACTGAGGGAGTGGTGTTGAAGGTGGAGAAGAAAATGATGAAGATGACAAATACTAGTACTTTTTTGAACACTTCTTGTTGGGTTCTAATTTGAAAATTGAAATACTTGGAACTTGAAAACTTGTACTAAATAGACAGGCAAACAGAATTTGAGTAAAATGTACTTTAATATAAAATCTTCTGTTACTGATTTAAAAAGGTGAAGGTGATAACAGAATCATAATATTTCAAAATTAGCAAAATCGAACTAGAATTTACAGACCAGTGGATCTCCTAGGAAGCAGCAGCTACTGCTTCTGTTGTTTTCCCCTTCTCTTTGACTGCTTTCTTCCAGTTCTCTGCACTATCGATGATTTCCCCAGTTTTAATGAGGTACCGGACTCTTTTTCCATTGTCTAACGTTTTGTGGCCCACCCGACTGGTTACCTTCTGCTCTTTTGAGTAAAGCATCACGTTTGAGCTGTGAATAGGAGCTTCAATCTGAAACAACAACAACAACAACTATGTCTCAGTCCAAACAAGTTGAGGAGTTTCAATCTGAAATGTTAATACAAATTTTTCTTTCTTGGTAGGGCAAAGATGAATTCAATGCTAGCCACAACGAAATGTAAAGCTCAAGATAACAATTTTCAGGTGAGTTAGAGAAGAGAGAAGTCGAGATAAAACCTTGACTATCTGGCCTGGTTCCTCCTCACTCCGACTTTTCACATGCTTGGTTTTCAAGTTCACCTCTTTTACTACTACTTTGCTGTTGTGCTTGATGATCTCGGTGATCTCTCCGATTTTACCTTTGTCATGGCCGGATATTACCTTTACAGTATCACCCAGCCTTACATGCATTTTGTGTAGTACTGGAAGACTGTTTGGCTTACATTCTTTACGCTCCCATCGCTTAAGCTGCAAAATAGACATAAAAAAGAAGCTCTTATTCAATGATAAAGCTAATTCTATTCACAATTCTCAGAAACTGTTGTTTCAGCTAAAAGAATATCATACTCATAAGAATTAGTCCCGAAGATTAGCAATACAAACATTTGGTGGCCATTTTTAAAAGCTGTTGACGAGTTAGTTTGAGCACTTCCTTCATTACATCATGTTATAAAAGAAATGCATGACCACATAACAGCAACCCTATAAAAGTAGTTGCGGCAAATGTCTATTCTCGGACACACATACTAAAGGACCAAAAAAATGAATCAAGATACCAACCTTTGCTGTAATCAAACATGGACCTTCTGTTGATTTAACCTGCACGGCATCATATGGAGATCGTCATTAAAGTGGCTAAAGATTATCCAATTTTACAGTAGACACAACAAAAAGCGACAAATGTGTAAGGCATGATATACATCCAAAGAGTGTTGACCGAATAACAAGCAAGTGCATTTTCTGGAAACAGATCTCATTCCGTATTTGCTTCCAATAACTTGTGATTATATAGGCACTAACAACAAATTCACCATTGTTTGTGATCCCTCATAGTAAACATGTTTAACAGATAACTATAATATGAGAACGATTTATATTATCGAGGAACACAGAGGCATATGTATAATATGGGTTTAGCAGAACCCAGTAGCTTTCTTTCAAAACCCTATATATGTATTAAGAAATTGCTAAATACGACCAAATATTAAAATTTCGAACCCTAAAGTCAAATACAGGATTCATCCTATGTTGGAACTTGGAAGACCATCAATTGCAACAGAGGGGGTAAGTTTAAGTTAACCAATTAGCATATTCTTAATATACTTGACTTTTTGAAGACCTTTTGAGGAACTACTGCAGCAAATTGTAGATGTCCTTATATATCAAATTATTCCCTTGCAGCTAGAAATACACTGTGTTTGGTATGTAGTTCCAACTTTCCTATGTTCCGAAAATATTTTCTTTAGGAAAACAAGTTCAAGTTCAAAATGAAGAAAATGACTTCCCTAGTGGAAGTAAGGAAAACAAGATGGATAAGTAGCATTTCAAGTTTATCATCTCCTCCGCACACACCCAATCCTTCCAACTCCCACTTCTTGACCATATCACCTCCAGCCATCCCCAAATCCCCACTCCCCATCCCATCTCACCTCCATAGTATTTTTTATTTTATTTTATGACAAGGGAACCCGCAGCCTCTACCCTTTGGGTGCGCACAAGGTAAAACTCCCGCTCCAATGCAATAGCTCGCAAACCACATAGGAGAGGTAACCCGCACTAGGCAAGCCCGGTGCGACGAGCTCGACCCAGAAGGCAAACCCCTTGCTTTCGTTGGCAAGGGATTTCGAACTTTAGACCTCCAACATGGAAGTCCCAAGCCCAAACCATTGGGCCATCCCAAAGGGTACCTCCATAGTATTTTGTTGCATATATAACATATAAATGTTCTTGGGACAATATTATCTAACTTAGTTACTATATAAAGACTAGAAAATTAGTAAGTTCCACACTTGTTTTCCAGGAAAACATTTCTAGGAAATAATTTTCCGTGGAAAACATATTCCTTCGTACCAAACAAGCAATCAAAACTTATAATGGCGAAAAAACATATGATATGAGAAAGGATTCAGGTAGCAATGGTGACGAAGACGAGAAAAAGTCCACAATATATTGTAATCAAATAATAGAAAATTAATTTCTAATCAATAGTACAATGGAGATAGATACCTTTGTCCTATGATCCCTAATACATAGAAGTCAAATTATTCAAAAAAAGACCTTTCACAAGGACAATTGAAATTGAGATAAAGCAGACAGGACATAGCCTAGTGGTTAATGAAGTGGTGGACAACTATGAGGTGTTGGTTCAAATCACAATACACTACTTTATTTCTTCGCATTTGTGTTAGACTCGATGGAGAAAGTTACTCGCAACACAATTCAATTCTGGCGAGAGGTAGCAGGTATCCTATGTAATTAGTCGAGTTGTGAGCAAGTTGGACCAGATGACACAGTTATAGAAACAAAAAAAAACGACATTTGAGAAAATTCATTTTGAAAACCAAATAGTGGAAGTTATGAGAAAGCATACCAGAGGAAGGGAGAGAGGAGGAGAGAAGCGTTGGCCGAAGAAAGAGGTGGAGGAGATGGAGAGACCAGTAAAGGAGCTCTGCAGAGCCGCCATTGCTCAAAACCTTCTGCAAAATCCTTTTGTGAAGGAAGAAACAACACTGAGCTGAGCTGAGTTTTTGGATAGGATAATAAAAACCAGAACCTCCTCCTTCTTCTCTCTCTATCCCTGTGTCCAGATACCCGATCCAACTCAATTGGACCTTCAACGGGTCGAGTACGGCCCAATTATAAAGCCCTTTTCAGCTATTGGGGAATAATCCTATTAATTTTAAAAGGGAAAAATTATCAAGTTTTATAGTTTGACAAAACAGATAAATGGTGAATTGAACAAATATATATATTGAAACAAAATCGGGGAAGTTGCTCAATCGATTGACTATTAGGATTTTACTTTACTAGTGAGGATCGATTGATAAGTCTCCCATTTTTCATTCCCCTAAAAATAAAAAATAAAAAAACTTGGTTTTTTTTAATAAAATTAGATTGAATAGGATATTAACGTAGAAGATGATATGAAGTGAAAAAGGCTGATCTGGGATTTTCCCCATTTTCTACCATTCATTAACCTTCCACGCAAATTTACAAAAACTTGAACAAAATTGGGAACAAAGGCTATCATACACTCGGACTATAACATACCCCTACGTATCCCAAACGAACTCACCAAGACAAAAGTGTGTTTTGTAAATAAAGAACCTAACAACCTGACCAATTTTACAAGATGAAACAAAAAATAAACAAATGGAAGAACTGAGTTAAACTTCATATGAGTCAGCTGTACTATCTATAGATTCCACACGTCGATGTCCAGAGATTGGACTCCGATGATCTAGCTGTTCAACATTGATGGTAATCTCCTCTGCTGTTGCAGATAAAGACCGCTTGTGGCGCTTTCTTTCGTGTCTAGACTTGAGTATCCTTGACAGAACCTGCACAGTGTCCCTCATGGAAGGCCGTTTCTTCGGGGCACGATTCACACATTTGTATGCAAGTGCTGCAACATCATTAAGTTCTTGCAGATCATACTTCCCATCAAGACGGGAATCTGCAATTTCCTCCCATCCGCCTTTTCCATCTGTAGTCATGGCTGCCTACAATCATCAATCATATCTGCTTAGTTTCTATATCACTGAAAAGGCTTCAGAAACATATGGACAATAAAAGAGGTTGTAGGGGAAGAGGGGAGGAGTGGAGAGGTTTCGAAAGTTACTCGTTATCAGTGCTCTCTATATATGTGTGCCTAAAGTTAGGAGTAGTGGCACTATACAGCATACATATGATGAAGTCATCCAAGTACAACCAGGGAAGACAAAAGATTGTGCAAAGACACTATAACAAAGGCGTAAGCAATCTCATAAAGCTATATGCTCAAGAAGTTATGGACCCTTGGTTCTCACCATATCTTTTTTCACAAAAAAAAAAAAAAAGTTTCACATCACATAATGAGGAGAGAGAGAGAGAGAGATCTTACTAGTTCAATATACTCGATAAGCCCCTGAAGAGGGTTTTTACCAGCAATAAGTTCAAATAGTAAGACCCCAAAGCTGTAAACATCGCTTTTCTTAGTGAAGGACCTAGTTGATATATATTCAGGATCAAGATATCCGAATGTTCCACGGATATTGGATACATGTTTACTGACCATTTCTTCCCTTGACAGCCCAAAATCAGCAACCTGTGTATTAAACCCAAGATTGCAAGTTATGCTTAGTACCATTAGACCAAAATGGTGTCTACATTTTCATTATGATAAACTCAGGATGGTCATAATCTTCAGTATGACCACCTCAAAGTCTGCCATTTCATTTATTATCAAACCAAAGAAACCTATTTCGTCTACTTTACTTTGGAGAGAAAAAAAAGAAACATACCCTGGCACTCATTGACTGATCCAACAAAATATTGGATGATTTAATATCCCGGTGTACAACTGGAGGAACTGCCTGAAAAAGGAAATAACAAAGAAGAAAGAGGTGAGTGAATCAGCAATATACGGTAGCAGGAGAGTTTCCACTAGGACACACATGATTCAGAAATTGAGTTCCCCCCAAAATGTATTTGTATGTGAATGGATTTCATACTTATTTCAAGGATCCTTGATACCGAAGAGAGACTGGTTATTAATCATGTGTCAGCAATTAAATGTGAATTACGGGATAAGATTACCCCGTCATGAAGATACTCTAAGCCCCTAGCCACATCCAGAGCAATTTGAACTCTCAACTCCCAGCGCAATGGTTCAAGCTTTTCATCTGTCAATGTAGTTCCATTGTTAAAATACTAACATATTATCATGCATGTGAGAGGTTATCCTGGATGCAAATATCTGGCTACACTACCATGTTTTACATTTCTATGAAAACTTTGATTGCATGAGTACATATGCTAGTCAAAATACAAATGTCAATGTATCATGAATCTCATCTCACAGAACACAAAGATAATTTCCAATTTGAGGAGGTGGGATATCTTCTAATAGTCACATAAACAATCCCTAGCATTCAGTGTACCAGTGTTAAGAACCAGCAGCGCTAAACTGGACAGTAGGGAGCCTTGCTATAAACTGATCAAATAGTTGGCGCTGAAGGGCATACAAATGGAGGAAATCATGAATGGAGAAATATTGTTCAGAAAGGAGCTCAAATCTACACTGCTAGGACACACAGTGGGTTAGCACGAGACTGACTACATCCAAAACTTGCTTTTGGTGGCAGTAAACTTCTTAACAGACTAATCTAGTTTACCCATATAAATATAGTTCCATTTACTACAAATTGGCTTCTTGAAATTGTTGCCTTGATTGATGGATGACTGATATATGTTACTCAATGAACATAATTGAGGTGAAAAGTACACATATATAGGCATGCAATATTTGGTAACCTCGGCATCATGCAATCAGAGAAATGTTTTAAAATTTAAGAATGTTGCAAGAAAATGCCTTGATCAAAACTGCCTCTATAAGAAATCTTTTTCTCTTGCCACAAAAATAATCAAACAGAGTTCTCAACAGCATACCGTACAAGTGAGAAGCTAAACTGCCTCGGCTCATGTAAACGTAGATAAGCATATGCTGACCCTTCTCTGCGCAGTATCCAACTAAATTCACTAGGTTTCTGTGGTGTAGCCTTCCCAGTAACATGACCTGTGGAAACAAAATAAGCTGGAAGTTAATTTAGTTTTAGAAAAACATTTACATCATACAATGTAGTTCAGCTATTACAGCATAAAACATACAGTTTAGCACAAAATACAAATAAAAGGATGAGGCTCATATCATATCTAGAAGCCTATTGGATGAAAAGTTTTGTTAAATATTAACTCACAAATGCTAGGATTTGCCTAAATCTTTTTTCGCGTGCTATGAAATTTAGAGAAAGCATTGTTCATGTTTGGAGGGTACACCAATTTTTCTGTCCCCATTTGCTTATGATCAGTTGCAAGCACCTCACCAGCAACAGAATCAAAATATGAGGGGAGTTGAAGTTAATATACCCTTCTCTTTTGATCTGAAAACCAGATGTTTTTGTTAAAGATCACTTGGCCTTGTACCACTGCCATGTTGTCTAAGTGATGCTCATGATTTAAGGTAAACATTTTTACGATGCACAAAAAGTAAGTAAATTTATTTAGCATTTTCCACAACTACACCATATTTTATCAACTGGTTGTTTGGTGAACTGGCCTTTCCATATGTTAACTTAGAGCTTGCTCGAGATGGTTGCCACACATTACTAAAGGTTGTCAAAATTTACAACAAATGTTTGAACAAGTTGACTTGTCAAACACACGTGATATCGTCTTGAAAAGAATTCTTCTGTAATGTTTAGAGTACCTCTGTTTGGAATTCTTTCTCCCCTTGTTTAGAATCAGTTGCAAGCACTTTGACAGCAACCGTCTCACCAGTAGACATCTGAGCTTTATAAACAGGACCATAGGCCCCTTGACCAATCAATGTGGTGAAGTTGTAGGTTGCTCTCTGCAAATCCCTGCCCATGAGTAGTAAATGATCATCATCTCAATTAAGAATCAAAAGCATTACAGCATGTAGTCATGCACTCATGGCCCTAAGATGCAAGGTCTATTTATTGAAGACTGCAATTTATGTTAAATAGTATGAACGGAATTGCAATACATGCAGCAAAGTAATGAATCAGACACATTATAATAGGATATTGCCATGAGACGAAGATGCAAAGTCTTGCTACTAGAGAATGTTCCTAGTTTTGCCCGACGTCCAAACAGTACATTGTTCAGGATTCTGATTTGAGAAAATCTAATAGTAGCCTGACAGTGGATGGACGACCTTTGAAGTTGTATGGTCTAAAGGCAATTTCTTTGATAAAGAGACAAAAAAATGGATCATTTCTTCTTCGGCAAGTTCTGAATAAAAGTGGAAGTTTGGATTTCGTAAGATCCTTATATTGTATTCTACTTCCAGTGATCGTAACAACTATAATAGTATAAAAATACTGATTTTAAACAATCTCTCCAATGATAAAATAATAGTCTTAGCCAAGTTCATCATCCCTTTTCAAAAACAATGAGAGAGCAGTAGATTGTAGACCAAACTAAGAAGTTGCAATACTCTTTCCATTTTATCAAAGATACATACTTGTAGGAGTACTCGAGAATACCGGATGCAGAAACCACATTGGACTTCCTGACGCTCCCTAACCAAAATGACATGCCATTCTGGATAGACTTTGGTGACTCAGTACCAATTGAGGAGTCTGATAATACTGTACATGTATCTACACCATTTGCACGAATAGGAACAGTGGCAGCCCTCCTAGAACTGCTATTCCCTATCTGAGGACGTCTCCTATGGTACCTCCTAAAGCAGAAAAATGCAGCTATAGCTAAAAGCACTCCTATCACCACTCCAATTGAGATGCCTATAATTAATCCAGATGACTCCTTCTCCATCTCTTCCGTGTTCCTCAATTCTCAGCTACCTAAGCATTGGTCCCATTGAGAAATACCTGTAAGAAATTAAAAGTAGTTAACTTCTGCAACCAAAAAGTCAGGATGAAAAATAAAAAGTTAACTACAACAACTTCCAACAATCCCAAACTGGTCAAGATCAACCATATGAATCCTCAATACCAATTTACCTCCATTCGGACTAATTTCATCCCAATACAAGAGTCCAGAAAAA